TATATATATATATAATATANANANANATACAACACACACACACACACACACACACACACACACACACACACATATATATATATATATATATATATATATGTATTTATGTATATGTATATAGTAAACAGAATTCATATATGTATTTGTGTGCACCGTGTCTATGATTCGTCTTGGAAGGGGTACGCTTATGTTTGTTGTAAAATATGAGAGTAGACCTAAATTGTCTCGTCAGAATCTAAACAAGTGCAGCACTTTTTTTTACACACATCTCTGTTTGTACTATAGTCGGCCTCACTGAATGGGAATATACCTTGACAATTGTGACTCGGTTTTTCGGATCTGCTGCTAGATTATGCAGTTGCTGAACAATCACCTTGACATCCATGTTGGCACCAGTTGTCACCACACCAACTGTCTACTTGTAAACAAATTATGCTATATACATATATGTATAAAATATGTAGTATCATATACACCTATTAATAGTCCTCTATCTATTTATATTATGACTATTAAATATTCCTGGATGATTTGAACAAGGAACTTCTAAATAAACACCAGCGTCGGCTGGTCCTGAATTCCTCTCTGATCATGATACGCCAAAGCCGATCGAGTCATCGGTAAATACAATGTACACATATGTAGCGAAGTTTTTTTTTGATATATATTTGGGTATGTATTGATAGGTTTGGGTGGACAGAAAACGTACACTACATATTCCGACGCTCAGATGTGCATTTCATGTAATTTCAATACTCTCAGGTGTGTGATATATTCATAAACGTAAATGCTGGAAAATATCCTCGCTCTCTCTCCTAGAGCGATGACGGAGGAGGGCTAAATTTTTTTGCAGATTGGCGAACGCGGAGAGCAGCTTCTTTTCAATATGATAGCCCTGCAAATATTATTTTATAAAGACCAATTCGCTAAGTATATCGTATATATCTATATTGTTACTAGCGTGCATGTTCACAGTACTATGGAATGTGAATATACTTTTATACTATTTGGAACATAAATTGTGATGGTTTACACAACCTGTATTAGAGCATAATTATCAGATATACGCTAAATACACATCGTGTATGTTCACAACACTATTTACACATAGTGTATGTTCACAATACTATTTTAAACACAAATTGTGGTCATAATAAATATACCCAATCCATATAGAGCATACGCCTTACATTTGGACTTGTCCGTGGTTTGTTATCTCAGGTCGTCTGGATTTAACTGCCCCCACTTCCTCAAAATGAGCGTGGTGGTGCGTACAACTAGCCTTGCTTTGCTGACGGGGTAAGTACATGTTGTGTCGATCTTATGATCAATAAATATAGATATGCTGTTAGGAATGTGATCGTGTGCAGTCACTTTGAGTATATACTTCCATTTAAAACATACTTAATTGCGTCAATTTTTTGGACATTGAGTTTTTGTATATTGCGATTCTTAGCCATAGGTACATACTACCAACATTAAACACCTTTCGTGACCGAACAGTTTTCAATTCCGCGACAGCACGGTTTTATATCGATGTATATTTTGTCATCGATTTAAGTATATATACATACATATATCTATGTCCGTGCGCACACACACACACACACACACGCACACACACACACACACAC